TATTTTAAATGATCACAGTCAAATTGAGTTATATTTCATGCTGCAAGGAATGTGATTTTCAGAACTTGTTCATAAATATTCATGGCAGTCAGATATTATCTTACTGTTTAATATTAAAAATAAATGGTGTAGAAACAATTTTCACTCCCAATTAATTACAAAGAAACGACAAGTAACGCATTGAATAACATGTGAAACTTTGGAGTAGACGGAGATAGTATTTTCTTGTAAAACACTTTTTGTAAAAACAAAAACAATTTTGACGGCGCTTATCTAAGATTGTCTATGAAAGGTGTAGCTGAGTCATCAGACCTTCCAAAAAGGCATGATGCAATAGCATTGTGAAATAAAACGGCTGTATTTTTTTGACAGTCAGGAGTTACATGGTGCTAGAGATGTTGCGGTAATGATTGTGTAGATCTTAGAAATGGCTGGTATGACTGCATGATTCCATTCAGCAGTGGAATATGATGATTGTAATTTCACACTGTGAGAGACACAGAGATTGACGGCCAGTGTCACGGTTCCATTAGAGTTACTTCACTATGAACTGGCGAGATGCTCTGTTCTAGAAACCACTGTCACCACGCTGCTGCAGAAATGACAAGCGCTCCAAAGAGAACACGACTGTGAATGCGTGTCATCTTTTATTCTCCCCTTGCAATGTCTTCCTCAATAAAGCAGCAGCAGAGAGAACAAAAGGAACAATGAGAGGAGAGAGAGAGAGAGAACATACAGTATTATAGAGAGAAAATCCGCGCTGACATCTGAATTACATTTCAGACATGTGGAGAGAGAGAGAGAGAGAAGAGAAGAGAGAAATAACCACATCTCAAATGTTTATTTAACTCTGGCTTTGTCTTGTCACTCACAACTCAGAGCCACAGCTGAAATGGGCATGTATACATTCAGTGGCTCACTGATAACTGACAGACTATCTGTACATATTGCAGGTTTGGACGCAAAAGTGGCATAGTTGACATTTATATCATTTAACTTCACTGACATTTTACCCTATTGCTCGGTATATAAGGCACTATCTTTGTATGACACAATTCAGCTTTTACAAGATAGTGACGATGCGTCAAAAATGGCACGTTTATATGTACTCTATGGAGATGTTTCGTGTATACACATATGGAAAGATGTTATCCATAATACCATGTGAAAGGTGCAGTATAACTGGTCCGGAGTAAAACTGCAAAAAAAAAAAAAAAAGATCATTTTCGTTTATCATGGGGGGAAACGTCTTTAAAATGAGACCAGCAAAATCAATTGTTTTCAGAAAATGTATTTTATATGTCTTTTGACCTTCTATTTTTAAGCTGAAACCTTTTTTAACTTATAGTGGTAAATGCTGAAAAGAGAAAACTATTCACAAATGTGGTATGAAAATTAAACATTCCTTATTTTGCTTTTCAATTAATCTTGTTTTAAAGATGTTTAAATATCTGTGCAAATAAATACCATTTTGCTTGTAATGTTAAATTCCTAATTACAAATTCGACAAAAAAAAAAAAAACGATTTTAAGGTTTAAACTGAATTGCCCTTTGAATTCCTCCTCTACCTGTTAAGTAATGACATATTGAAATTAAATTCTGATTATTTTTGAAATTATGATACTGTGTGTATGTATCTTTGGCAGTGTGAGCCACCCTGACTAAATTGGCAGGTTTGGTGACACTATATATCACAGCACAGCAGGGCCAAATTATCCTCTAAATGAATAGGGGTTATGAGTGTGATACGCTGACAGTCATACCCTAATACACACACATGCATAGTCTGAATGCTAAAGGGAAACAGAGAGACCTAATGTCTGACACCTCATCCTCGTATAACCTCATTACCACCTTTCAACAGAGGTTAGAGCCCCTAAGCATACACTTAGTGTGCTTTGATGGTTCTGGATCTCAAAGTGACAGTCAAACACCCCCTCGCCGTGCAACTCATGCTTCTCTCCTCTCTCTCGCTTTCCCTCTACACTTATTTGGGAGTAATTTTATGTGCCAGCATGGCACATAATACACTTTTAATGGACAACTAATTCTCTGCCATTAATTTGTCAACATGATTACTGGATCTGCCGTTTCAACTTGGCAATGTCTGGGTTCCTTTTAAGTATATACGAGATGTTAATGTGTTTCTATTCAGGTTTACATCAAGGGACGTCAGAGATTTACATAATGCGACCATTGAGGTCCATGACAGCATGCTTTCCCCCCGAGTTCACTTTTCTCACTTGATTCCCACAAAAGACCCGAACATTTTCAGGCTTCACCCGGCTGAATTCTGTCGTTTTTCTCATGTTAAGATGTGAGCTGGGTTAAAAAGAATAAGGCTTAAGAGAATAACTTGTTTGTGAAAATATTTTTTAGGAGGTATACAATAATTCTGATTCTGCTAATTTTTACTCATGTGAAAATATGCCAATGGGTCCTGCTGTGCACAAAACTGTCACCATGACTGGTGAATCAACTCTGCATAAACGTGCGATGCAAACAAGGTGTATGTGTGACCCAAACTTCTGTGGACAGGTCATAGTTAAACACATAGCCCCGAATTCTCCTTGTCACCCATCCCTGGAAACACAAGCTCCTTCTGGCAGGAAGTTGACAAGGCAACATGTGAGAGATCAAAAAAATCCTGCGCTAAAGTTCTGGCGCTGTTCCATAGACACATTCTGCATATATACAGTAGTCTGTCATCAAAGGACAAGGGATTGTTTTTGCCGGTGGTTGGACATTTCCTTATGAGCAATCTTTGATGCTGGAGCTGACAGACGGGTCAAACTGAGGGAAATCTCTCCCTCTTGTCTTTCAACTGCAGTGTGGAAAGCATAATGCAACTATTGTTCCTCCACTTTTATAATATTCAATAAACGAATATTCATAATCAGTTGGATAAAGATGCAAATGTAAATATGTGTAATTTTCTATCTAGATACTAAAATTATATAGAAGTTGTCTGCTTTAGAGATAAATTGTGCTACTTCTTATGTATTTTGATGTGCTGAATTAATCTAAATTCAAATATGACAATTAAACTGATCCAAGATATTCCAAGATATTTAAGCTTTTACATTTTACTGCAAAAAATATATGATCAATACTTTGACAACATATATTTTTACATTTATTCGAACTCATTAAAAAATTAAGCAAATTTCACCTTTTTTCTAATAAAGTTATACAGTTACACAGGATTCAACTTTAGTTCAATGTAATTTAAAGCTACACTGTGTAACTCTTTTAGTTTATTCTTAGCTAAGAACACTTAGTTCTTTCAAAAATGTATGTGCTCATTAATGTACATTTACTTCGTTCAAGTAATAAAGTATTCTCGTGAGTGTATAATATGCCATTGAAAATACATACGGGTAAGGGGTTCCAATGTCGGTTGCCATGTTGCCCCTCCATCTTGAAAGTACAGTAGCCAAAGAGGGAGATACCCATTAACTCAAGCTCCGCCTTTCGCATTTACGAACTGGAAGCCATGTTAATCTTGGACTACATTGGCCACCGTAGGAGTTAAAACGCAATGGGAATTTAGAGGAACAGCGACTATTATTCACTGGATGGTCATATACCTTTTCATCGCTAGATGGGGTAAAAATCACACAGTGTAGCTTTAAGTTGAGATGACTTAAACATCCAAATTGGCAAGTTAAGGTAACTTTTTTTTTAACAGAGTATACCTGTCCTAAAAAAAAAATCTATAGTGTATATAGTAGTAGTTCTTGTCTTGTCTCTTGCATTCATAAAATGGAGCATTTCTTCGCACTGCCCAGCAATAGTCTGAGAGCATTGATGGGCTCCATTTGCCCTGATAGCGTTGCTCCATTGTTGCAATGTCTTGGTGAAATCGCTCGCTATGCTATTCGCTTACTTCTCCACAGTCCGGTGGGAAAAAAATCTAGGAGAGTGCAAAAAATGTACCAAGGATTTTGTATGCTTTGTATGAGGAGGTTTTCCACCAACAACCTGTAATTCTCTGCCTTGTTGCTCCAGGGAAAATGTATCGCCTCTAACAGGAAGGTTTTCCTTCCCTGAGGACCCTTCCAGAGCTGAGATATGGACATCCCACATATGCTATTATAAAAATAGTGGGATAAATGCTATGTGGGATCTCAATATCTCAGTTTTGGAAGGGTCTAGAGCCTCCATTTTTGCACTCAGGTTTAAGTCTCATGGCCCTCTATCAGAATCCAGAGTTTTGAGAAAATTGGAAAAACTTCATTTTTCACCCGAAAAAAAAAAAAAAAAAACGAAAGGGGTACCACCGTCGTTTTTTCAGGTCAAATTTTTGAGTTTTGATATCTCAGCTCTGGAAGGGTCTAGAGCCTCCATTTTTGCACTCAGGTTTAAGTCTCATGGCCCTCTATCAGAATCCAGAGTTTTGAGAAGATTGGAGAAACTTCATTTTTCGCCCCCCCCCCCCCAAAAAAAAAAAAACGAAAGGGGTACCACTGTTGTTTTTTTTCGGGTCGAAATTTTGAGTTTCGATATCTCAGCTCTGGAAGGGTCTAGAGCCTCCATTTTTGCACTCAGGTTTAAGTCTCATGACCCTCTATCAGAATCCAGAGTTTTGAGAAGATTAGAAAAACTTCATTTTTCGCCCAAAAAAACCCGAAAGGGGTACCACTGTCGTTTTTTTTTTCGGGTCGAAATTTTGAGTTTCGATATCTGAGCTCTGGAAGGGTCTAGAGCCTCCAGTTTTGCACTCAGGTTTATGTGTCATGGCCCTCTATCAGAATCCAGAGTTTTGAGAAGATTGGAGAAATTTTGAGTTTCTCTGATCTTCTTGAAAAATGCAAAAATGCAAAAATGGAGGCTCTAGACCCTTCCAGAGCTGAGATATTGAGATCCCACATAGCATTTATGCCATTATAAATATCTCAATATTGATGTGTTAACTGTGTCAACACAGTTAACACATCAACCTCAGCATGTAAATTCAGTGTTGAGCTCATAATGTGAATCTTGTTTGTATGTTACAGGGACAGAAGAACACGCGTGTGTTTATCTGGTGGAGAGAGGCTCATGGTGCTGAATGCTGTCATCAATGGCTCTGAGTGAGTATACTACATAAATGGATAAAAAATCTATTAAATGTTAAGTTGTGGTTTATTTGAATGATCGTAATTTCAAACTGAGAAATTACAACACCTTTCTGAGTCTTGATTTCTGCATTTGCTGCAGAACTTTTGTGGTTGAGCAGGACCTGCAAGGAAAGATGATGGGGGCATTTGTTGGGGGGAAAAAAGGTTTCAGGGATTTTACTCAAATATAAAGTAAGGCTATTTTTAATACATAAATCAAATGACATTGTGTGTTAAAATGACTGCTTTTGTGTTATGTTTGTGAGCATTTTTGTAGGATCTGAAAAGTCTGCAGACTGGTGTGAGCACTGAGGATGAGGAGCCCAGAGCTACATCCTGGAAGTGGTGCCATGGATGAGTCCCTCCATCACTCCACCTGCCCTTATGAGTTCCTCCATCACTCCACCTGCCCTTACGAGACCCTCTATCGCTCCACCTGCCCTTATTGCCTCAGATAGTGAAGCGCAGCCACAAGCTCCGGCACGAAGGCACAGTCCCCTCTGGTGAATTCATCAGAAAAGAAAGTCTTTTTTTTTGGGGTCGAATTTTTGAGTTTCGATATCTCAGCTCTGGAAGGGTCTAGAGCCTCCATGTTTGAACTCAGGTTTAAGTCTCATAGCCCTCTATCAGAATCCAGAGTTTTGAGAAGATTGGAAAAACTTCATTTTTCGCCCAAAAAAAAACCCCGAAAGGGTCGTTTTCACTGTCGTTTTTTTTTTGAGTTTCGATATCTCAGCTCTGGAAGGGTCTAGAGCCTCCATTTTTGCACTCAGGTTTAAGTCTCATGGCCCTCTATCAGAATCCAGAGTTTTGAGAAGATTGGAGAAACCTAATTTTTCACCCGAAAAAAAACGAAAGGGGTACCACTGTCGTTTTTTTTTTCGGGTCGAAATTTTGAGTTTCGTTATCTCAGCTCTGGAAGGGTCTAGAACCTCCATTTTTGCACTCAGGTTTAAGTCTCATGGCCCTCTATCTGAATCCAGAGTTTTGAGAAGATTGGAGAAACTTAATTTTTCACCCGAAAAAAAAAAAAAACGAAAGGGGTACCACCGTCGTTTTTTCAGGTCAAATTTTTGAGTTTTGATATCTCAGCTCTGGAAGGGTCTAGAGCCTCCATTTTTGCACTCAGGTTTAAGTCTCATGGCCCTCTATCAGAATCCAGAGTTTTGAGAAGATTGGAGAAACTTAATTTTTCGCCCCCCCCAAAAAAACGAAAGGGGTACCACTGTCGTTTTTTTCGGGTCGAAATTTTGAGTTTTGTTATCTCAGCTCTGGAAGGGTCTAGAACCTCAATTTTTGCACTCAGGTTTAAGTCTCATGGCCCTCTATCAGAATCCAGAGTTTTGAGAAGATTGGAGAAAATTTTGAGTTTCTCTGATCTTCTTGAAACTCTGGATTCTCATAGAAGGCCATGGGACTTAGACCTGATGCAAAAATGGAGGCTCTAGACCCTTCCAGAGCTGAGATATTGAGATCCCACATAGCATTTAATGCCATTATACATATCTCAATATTGATGTGTTAACTGTGTGAGTTAACACATCAACCTCAGCATGTAAATGCAGTGTTGAGCTCATAAATCAAAGAAGTGATGTGAATGTGTTTATCCGGTGAAGAGAGGCTCATGATGCTGAATGCTGTCATCAAAGGCTTTGAGTGAGTATACTACAGAAATGGATAACAACATCTATTAAATCTTAAGTTGTAGTTTATTTGAATTATTGTAATTTCAAACAAAGAAATTACAACACTTTTCTCAGTCTTGATTTCTGTACATTTGCTGCAGAGCTTATGTGGTGGAGCAGGACCTGCAAGCAAAGATGATGCAGCATTTGTTGGGAGAAAAAAGGTTTTAGGGATTTTACTCAAATATAAAGTAAGGTTATTTTTAATACATAAATCAAATGACATTGTGCTGTTAAAATGACTGCTTTTGTGTAATGTTTGTGCATTTTTCTAGGATCTGAAATGGTGTGAGCACTGAGGATGAGGAGCCCAGAGCTGAATCCTGGAAGTAGTGCCATGGATGAGTCCCTCCATCTCTCCACCTGGCCTTACGAGACCCTCTTTCGCTCCACCTGCCCTTATTGCCTCAGATTGTGAAGCGCAGCGTAGCAACAAGCTCTGGCACGAAGGCACAGTCACCTGTGGTGAATTCAGCAGAATAAAGCTGCAGAATGGGAACCGCTGAGTTGAGATGGCAGTAGGGTTTGGGGTTCAGTGCCTGTAGTTTGAATAAAGCATTGTTTCATGTGTTGTTGACTTGTATATACATTTGTTTATTGTGCTGGTTACTTTTATTTGTTCTTTTACTCATTTATTCATGTTTCTTATTGTTGTCTGTATATAAAATATACTGTAATTATTTAATGTATGTATTAATTCTTCAATTGACTGACAATTGAGATGTTTCACTGCATTTAGCAATATAAATGTATTCATGCATAACTTATGTCATATGATGAAGCAAATTACATTTTGCTTGTTATATCAAATTACATTTTCAGTGTATAAAAAGTCACACAATTAAGTATTGGTCAGCATTTAATATAATTTTGTTTAAGTTTTGGAGTGGGCTAACAATGCAATTCATTCTGAGGTAATATTAATTTTTAAGGAGTGATACATTTTTATTTTTTTTTGTATAAAATCAACAGTTTTCTCCAAAAGAGATCTTCGAGCAGCTGCCCACCACCTTTGTGCAGATATTGCAGAGGAAAATTGTTCTAGGTTGTGCTGTCGAGTTACTGATGTTATGAAGTGTTAGTGCACCTGCTGCTCTGCTCATATAATATAAACTTATTACATACAAGATCGTGGAATGATACCATAACAATCATATGTAACAATCACAATGACAAAACAGAAAATATAAAGATCATTGGTCTGTGTACATCATAATATGACATTATGAAATTAGATTTAAACACTAGGAAACAATAATGTCACAGGTGGGGGCAGGCCAATCTGACCTGCACCCGCCCCTCGAGACCCGTACCACCCTTGGGGAGCCTGACGGAGGACGGAGCGAGGAAGATTGGGTAAATCAAGGTTTTTAATAAAGATAAAATTATTCAAAAGAATGCAGGGTCAGGGCTGCTCTGTGTCAACTTCTCCGGAGTCAATCAGGGGAAATTTACAGCACTTATTCCTTTCATTTGCAGTCTGGAGGTTTCACTGCAAAGCAGACAGGTGAGTATACAGGCATGTAACCTCTACACTGGCAGGGCCAATGGAAACTCAACATAATCAACGAGATTTGGTTATAAAGTACCTACTCTTTTAGCACTCGTTGTATTGAAATTAAGTACCTACTCATTGAGTATGCGGTTTGGAACACAGCCATTATCTAAGCTCAGGAAAAGGTCTAGAGTCTCCATTTAACAGACCCTCTATCAGAATCCAGAGTTTCAATAAGATTGGAGAAACTTAATTTATCGCCCGAAAAAAAAAACAAATAAAACGAAAGGGGTACCACTGTCGTTTTTTTTTTCGGGCCGAATTTTTGAGTTTCGATATCTCAGCTCTGGAAGGGGCTAGAGCCTCCATTTTTGCACTCAGGTCTAAGTCTCATGGCCCTCTATCAGAATCCAGAGTTTTGGGAAGATTGGAGAAACTTAATTTTTCGCCCGAAAAAAAAAAACGTAAGGGGTACCACTGTCGTTTTTTTTTTTTCGGGCCGAATTTTTGAGTTTCGATATCTCAGCTCTGGAAGGGGCTAGAGCCTCCATTTTTGCACTCAGGTCTAAGTCTCATGGCCCTCTATCAGAATCCAGAGTTTTGGGAAGATTGGAGAAACTTAATTTTTCGCCCGAAAAAAAAAACGTAAGGGGTACCACTGTCGTTTTTTTTTCGGGCCGAATTTTTGAGTTTCGATATCTCAGCTCTGGAAGGGGCTAGAGCCTCCATTTTTGCACTCAGGTCTAAGTCTCATGGCCCTCTATCAGAATCCAGAGTTTTGGGAAGATTGGAGAAACTTAATTTTTCGCCCGAAAAAAAAAACGTAAGGGGTACCACTGTCGTTTTTTTTTTCGGGCCGAATTTTTGAGTTTCGATATCTCAGCTCTGGAAGGGGCTAGAGCCTCCATTTTTGCACTCAGGTCTAAGTCTCATGGCCCTCTATCAGAATCCAGAGTTTTGGAAGATTGGAGAAACTTAATTTTTCGCCCGAAAAAAAAAAACGTAAGGGGTACCACTGTCGTTTTTTTTTCGGGCCGAATTTTTGAGTTTCGATATCTCAGCTCTGGAAGGGGCTAGAGCCTCCATTTTTGCACTCAGGTCTAAGTCTCATGGCCCTCTATCAGAATCCAGAGTTTTGGGAAGATTGGAGAAACTTAATTTTTCGCCCGAAAAAAAAACGTAAGGGGTACCACTGTCGTTTTTTTTTTCGGGCCGAATTTTTGAGTTTCGATATCTCAGCTCTGGAAGGGGCTAGAGCCTCCATTTTTGCACTCAGGTCTAAGTCTCATGGCCCTCTATCAGAATCCAGAGTTTTGGGAAGATTGGAGAAACTTAATTTTTCGCCCGAAAAAAAAAAACGTAAGGGGTACCACTGTCGTTTTTTTTTCGGGCCGAATTTTTGAGTTTCGATATCTCAGCTCTGGAAGGGGCTAGAGCCTCCATTTTTGCACTCAGGTCTAAGTCTCATGGCCCTCTATCAGAATCCAGAGTTTTGGGAAGATTGGAGAAACTTAATTTTTCGCCCAAAAAAAAAAACGTAAGGGGTACCACTGTCGTTTTTTTTTCGGGCCGAATTTTTGAGTTTCGATATCTCAGCTCTGGAAGGGGCTAGAGCCTCCATTTTTGCACTCAGGTCTAAGTCTCATGGCCCTCTATCAGAATCCAGAGTTTTGGGAAGATTGGAGAAACTTAATTTTTCGCCCGAAAAAAAAAAAACGTAAGGGGTACCACTGTCGTTTTTTTTTCGGGGCGAATTTTTGAGTTTCGATATCTCAGCTCTGGAAGGGGCTAGAGCCTCCATTTTTGCACTCAGGTCTAAGTCTCATGGCCCTCTATCAGAATCCAGAGTTTTGGGAAGATTGGAGAAACTTAATTTTTCGCCCGAAAAAAAAAACGTAAGGGGTACCACTGTCGTTTTTTTTTCGGGCCGAATTTTTGAGTTTCGATATCTCAGCTCTGGAAGGGGCTAGAGCCTCCATTTTTGCACTCAGGTCTAAGTCTCATGGCCCTCTATCAGAATCCAGAGTTTTGGGAAGATTGGAGAAACTTAATTTTTCGCCCGAAAAAAAAAAACGTAAGGGGTACCACTGTCGTTTTTTTTTCGGGCCGAATTTTTGAGTTTCGATATCTCAGCTCTGGAAGGGGCTAGAGCCTCCATTTTTGCACTCAGGTCTAAGTCTCATGGCCCTCTATCAGAATCCAGAGTTTTGGAAGATTGGAGAAACTTAATTTTTCGCCCGAAAAAAAAAAACGTAAGGGGTACCACTGTCGTTTTTTTTTCGGGCCGAATTTTTGAGTTTCGATATCTCAGCTCTGGAAGGGGCTAGAGCCTCCATTTTTGCACTCAGGTCTAAGTCTCATGGCCCTCTATCAGAATCCAGAGTTTTGGGAAGATTGGAGAAACTTAATTTTTCGCCCGAAAAAAAAAAACGTAAGGGGTACCACTGTCGTTTTTTTTTTCGGGCCGAATTTTTGAGTTTCGATATCTCAGCTCTGGAAGGGGCTAGAGCCTCCATTTTTGCACTCAGGTCTAAGTCTCATGGCCCTCTATCAGAATCCAGAGTTTTGGAAGATTGGAGAAACTTAATTTTTCGCCCGAAAAAAAAAAAACGTAAGGGGTACCACTGTCGTTTTTTTTTTTCGGGCCGAATTTTTGAGTTTCGATATCTCAGCTCTGGAAGGGGCTAGAGCCTCCATTTTTGCACTCAGGTCTAAGTCTCATGGCCCTCTATCAGAATCCAGAGTTTTGGGAAGATTGGAGAAACTTAATTTTTCGCCCGAAAAAAAAAAAACGTAAGGGGTACCACTGTCGTTTTTTTTTCGGGCCGAATTTTTGAGTTTCGATATCTCAGCTCTGGAAGGGGCTAGAGCCTCCATTTTTGCACTCAGGTCTAAGTCTCATGGCCCTCTATCAGAATCCAGAGTTTTGGGAAGATTGGAGAAACTTAATTTTTCGCCCGAAAAAAAAAAACGTAAGGGGTACCACTGTCGTTTTTTTTTCGGGCCGAATTTTTGAGTTTCGATATCTCAGCTCTGGAAGGGGCTAGAGCCTCCATTTTTGCACTCAGGTCTAAGTCTCATGGCCCTCTATCAGAATCCAGAGTTTTGGGAAGATTGGAGAAACTTAATTTTTCGCCCGAAAAAAAAAAACGTAAGGGGTACCACTGTCGTTTTTTTTTCGGGCCGAATTTTTGAGTTTCGATATCTCAGCTCTGGAAGGGGCTAGAGCCTCCATTTTTGCACTCAGGTCTAAGTCTCATGGCCCTCTATCAGAATCCAGAGTTTTGGGAAGATTGGAGAAACTTAATTTTTCGCCCGAAAAAAAAAAACGTAAGGGGTACCACTGTCGTTTTTTTTTTCGGGCCGAATTTTTGAGTTTCGATATCTCAGCTCTGGAAGGGGCTAGAGCCTCCATTTTTGCACTCAGGTCTAAGTCTCATGGCCCTCTATCAGAATCCAGAGTTTTGGGAAGATTGGAGAAACTTAATTTTTCGCCCGAAAAAAAAAACGTAAGGGGTACCACTGTCGTTTTTTTTTCGGGCCGAATTTTTGAGTTTCGATATCTCAGCTCTGGAAGGGGCTAGAGCCTCCATTTTTGCACTCAGGTCTAAGTCTCATGGCCCTCTATCAGAATCCAGAGTTTTGGGAAGATTGGAGAAACTTAATTTTTCGCCCAAAAAAAAAACGTAAGGGGTACCACTGTCGTTTTTTTTCGGGCCGAATTTTTGAGTTTCGATATCTCAGCTCTGGAAGGGGCTAGAGCCTCCATTTTTGCACTCAGGTCTAAGTCTCATGGCCCTCTATCAGAATCCAGAGTTTTGGGAAGATTGGAGAAACTTAATTTTTCGCCCGAAAAAAAAAAAAACGTAAGGGGTACCACTGTCGTTTTTTTTTTTCGGGCCGAATTTTTGAGTTTCGATATCTCAGCTCTGGAAGGGGCTAGAGCCTCCATTTTTGCACTCAGGTCTAAGTCTCATGGCCCTCTATCAGAATCCAGAGTTTTGGGAAGATTGGAGAAACTTAATTTTTCGCCCGAAAAAAAAAAAACGTAAGGGGTACCACTGTCGTTTTTTTTTCGGGCC